GGATAAAGATAATCAGATCGGTGTGGGACAGATTTCATTTGGGGTGCTGCGTAGCACATCTAAGTGGAGATATCTTAGAGGTGGTTAGAGGTGCTTGTATGGAACTTGGGACATCAGGATTTGGGGTGCAGATTTGGGAACCTTGCATAGATATGGTCAGAGTAGCTAGAGAAGAAGGCCAATGCCAGATGCTTGGGAATTACTCACCATAGTGGTGGTAACGTGGAGAGACAGACACAGACGGAGAGAGAGACAGAGACAGACTCTGAAGCAAGAGAGGAGAAAGGTACCCAATGTGAAAGGTGTCAAAAGCCATAAGGTCAAAGATGTTAAGGAATAAAAAGAGGCCACCAGATTTGGTGATTAGGAAATCATTGGTTCCAGTGAAATGATGGTGATAGGGTTGAAGAAAGAAGCAAAAGAAATTTTTGCAAGTAGTTTACTTTAAAAATTCCCTCTCTAGTGTCCAGTTTTTCTTCTGTTGTACTCTTTGGAACAGGCAGTAGTCTTTTTCTGTTACTTAACCAATGTAGAGGGGGCAGCTAGGTGATGCAGTGGATAGAGCTCTGGCCTTGGAGTCAGGAAGACTGACTGAATTCAAATGTGACCTCAGACACTTAACACTTACTAGCTGTGTGACCTTGGGCAAGTCACTTAACCCTAATTGCCTTACCAAAAAGCCAAAAAAAAAAAACCCTAACAAACAAATGTGGGACACAAGTACTCCTTTTTCTTAACATCTTATTTCCATGAAAGCATTCCTATTAGATGGAGTAGCCATACAGGGGCTGTTGATTCTGTACAAACAGTATTGGGATTGGCATGATAAACAATGTGATGCTCAGTGGTTTTCACATACCTTGTTGGCCCCAAAAAGATAGCTTTAATGAGTTATCAGTTGTTCTTTCTGATGCTCTGGCCCACCAGATCTTAGTGGAATTTGGTTAGGATGGTGTTGGTTGAGACAGTACTGTGTAGAGTGTGCCTGAAGAATGATTTTCCCCCTCTAAAGAGCCAAGGCAAATTTATCTTGCCTAAAATAATGCCTGTATGATAAAAGTGTAGAAATGTTTTCATGTGGCTGCCCACATAGGGTCTCTGCCCACCTCATCTGGGTCTGGCTGATTAACGGAAGCATTTCTGCTTAGTATTATCTGTATCATAATAGGAAGTTGCAATAGGTAAGTAGCTTCTCCCCCCCCCCCCAAGTACTGGTGAGGATTCTAGTCGTCATGGTGCCCTGAGGAAAAACCCCTGGAGGATGTCAGTAAATGAATTATTACTACTCTTCTGGATGGTTACAGTAGCCTCTGAAGCAGATTTTCCCAGCATTCTTCACCCTCTGCAATCAGTCTTTCAAGATGTAGTTCTCCAATTATATTGCTCTCTTACTCAAAAACCTTCAGTGGCTCCCTTTTGTCTATCACATAGTCCAGACTCCTAAGCCTAGCATTGTGACACCAACCTACCTTTCCAGACTTATGTCCATACCTTCTGTACTCCAGCTAACCTAGCCTACTCCTGAATATGTCCAAGATCTCTTATCTTCTGTGCTTTCAGGCTGTTCTCCATATATGTGAAGTCTCCCCTCTCACTGCTGCCCCAGAGTAGATCCTACCCCATCTTCTTTTTATTTTTATTTTCAGTTCCAAATTCTTCCTCTGTCCCCTTCCCCACCCATGGAGAAGGCAAGAAATATGATTCCCATTATATATGTGAAGCCATACAAGAGGGGTTAAGTGACTTGCCCAGGGTCACACAGCGAGTAAGTGTCAAGTGTTTGGTCTGAGGCCGGATTTGAACTCAGGTCCTCCTGACTTCAGGGCTGGTGCTCTATCCACTGCGCCACCTAGCTGCCCCTACAAGGACTATGTTCTGATTAAATATAGTAGCATCTGCCATTGCCAGCACAGGGTATGAGAATTAATTTTTACTGAGCTTAAGTATTTTGCACAACTCAGTTAAGACTATCTGAGGTCTGAGATACGTTGGCAGAGTCAGTTCTTTGTCAGGAGGTGTAGTCTATCTGCCCTCACCTCCCCCCCCCAAAAAAAATTGTGCACATAGACTCTGAGAGTTGGAAAGGAGCTCAGAAGCCATTATTGTCACATAAATCCCTTCTCGTGAACGGCTACGGCAGGCATCATCTAGATGAACATTGACATGAGTAGGATGTTCCTTTGTTAACATTTCTGGCAAGTGGTCATTCCAATTGTTGTTTAAAAACCTTAAACAATGGGGAACACACTTTGTGAGGCAGTCTTTTTTTATTTTTGGTCAGTTGGTGCTTAATAAATAAAGATTAGAACGTGTGCAGTTGGATATAGTGGAAAGAATATTGTAAATATACTCAGGAAAACAGGGGTTGAGTCCCAGCACTGATAGTGGCTGTTTGAATTGTGTTTCTCTAAAAAGTAGGATTAAGATTTGCACTCCTTGCCTCATGAGACTGTATTGTGAAGAAAGTACTTTGTAAACCTTCAAGTGCTATAGAAATGTGTTAATGTTAACTCATTGGGTAGGGTGGCGGTTTGTGACTAAATGATCTAACTTGTACTATTGGTCTCCTTTTCTCACTCCAATAGGCATTAGCAGTAGGTGGTCTAGGTTCCATAATAAGAGTTCTCACAGCAAGAAAAACTGTTTAAAAAAAGACTTTTAACTTGTACTGAGAAGACCAGAAGAGTTTGGGGACCCAGGACAAGGAAGAAAGAATAATGGAGATGACACTGGCCCATCTTCCCCAAAACTACCATGAATCTATTTCAGACCATTCATTTGTTGAAAATGCTTTTTATTTTTGAGGTGGAGGGGGGGAAACCCAATGTTCTGCTGCTGCCTTTTCTGAATCCTGCACATGATCTGACATTCTCCTTTGCCTGGGAGTAACAGAATTGCCACCAATGAAATTGGATATTGGAGAAAGGAGGCTTCGTTCTGCTGGTGGCTCCTGGGCACTGCTGATGTAGAATGTTGGGATGCCTTTGGCAGGTGTTAGAATTTTTGCTGCTTGGAAAGGGAGTGCTTGTTTGGTGTTATATTTTCAAAGAATCTGAGGGTTTGTACAGAAATAGACTTCCTAGAGGAGGGAGGCAGACTCTGGGGCTGATTTTTATTGTAAAGTGCCTGCTGGATCAATAAAGCTCTTCACTCATTAGTATATTAATTTTGGTGTGTTTCATCTAGTAAAACAGAAGAGTGATGCTAAATGGCAGGGGTTCTCAGTCGTTCAGGGAGACCGACCAAGATACAGGAAAGCTGCATGTCTTGGCTCTTAAGCCATGTGGATGGATGCAGCTTGTGGGTCTAGTCTACATACAATCAGGCCATTAGCTCTGCATCACTACCTAGCTAATGGATCACAGGAAGGCAAAATGATGTTTCGTGTTTAAATATTTATTGTTTCATACAATTTCAAGTTTACCTTGTCTGTACATCTTGGATCTTAAGTTAATAAAGTACCAACCACATTTAATACTTTGTCCATATTTTAAAAGTGTTTTTGTATGGCTTTCTCAGAGGGGTATTTTAAAAGGGCAAAAAATGCTGGTGTTGGTCAGATTTGTGAATAGGAGGTCATCACAGTGTAGAGTATCATGGAATTTCCCAAACACAGAGGATATAGTTTTACTACAAGACAGCTTTTCCCTTTGCTTAAAAAAACAAAACAAAACAAAAACCACACATGAAAAATGGGTGGAGGCCAGTAAGAAAACAGGAATCAAATCTAGCACAAAACTGGTGGGGTTAGTGAGATTAGGGGATTTGAGTCTTGGTTGCACCACTTACTAGTTGTGTGACTTTGAACAAGCTAGCGTCATCAGTTAAATGGAGACACTGCTGCTTAAGACTGACTTCATGAGGGTGGTAATAAGGAAAATCAAAGTATTAGGTGAAAATAAGCTGTATAATTCCACTTTTCTCAAATCCAGAGAGTGGTGTTATTCATATTAAATAAAAGTAAACTTGGTTCTGCTCTATTGTGAATTAAATTTTCTTTAATGAACAAATAAGGATAAAATACTTTTTGTAATTTTATTACCTTTTATCTTTGTAACTATATTCTCATTCATCATCAACCTGAATGAAGTATAGATATCCTCATTTTGCAGATAGACAAATCAAGGAACAGTGAGAGAAAGTGACAACTTGTGACTTGAACCCAGGTCATCTCTCATATTTTTTGCACTATCCCTGGCTGTGCCAACGTGGCCTGTTAAAAATATCTATTTTCCTTTAGCATAAGCTTGCATATATAACTTTTTTTAACATGTGTAGTACTGGCTCCTACTACATGGAAGACTTTGTAAATTATGTTGAAGTTGAAACCAAGTTTCTTGACTCAAGGTTCTTACAACATTCAATATAATTCTGTCAAGAGTAATAAAAATGGGGGCAGCTAGGTGGCACAGTGGATAGAGCTCTGGCCTTGAAGTCAGACGATATGAGTTCAAATCCAGTCTTATCGACACATGACACTTACTAGCTGTGTGACCCTGAGACCCTGATCAAGTCACTTAACCCCAACTGCCTCACCAAAAAGCCACAAAAATAAAAAGTAATAACAATGAGCTGTGCTTAAAAACCTTCAACCCTTTGGTTATCATGTATGAACATACTACCGGTACCAGGAAGTTGCCTTTCCTTTGTAAGAGGTCAGATGCATAGAGAAGTTGTAGCAACTTAAGAGACCTAATAAGGTCAGCCCCACCCCCCATTTTTTTTTTTAAATACAGATGAGGTAACTGAGGCTCAGAGAGGACAAGGAACTTTGGGGAAAGTAGCAGAATCAGGATTTGGACTCAGCACTTCCCCAATATTTGTCTTTATTAGGTGACATCAGAACTTTTAGACCAGGACGGGATGGCCACAGACTAATTCTCGTTTTGAGAGGGAACAAGCTCCAAAGAAAGTCAAGTGATTTGTCCAAGGTCACATAGCTAATAAATAGCTCATCTGAAAACCTATTAATTGTAAATAAATCAAAAATCCACCACAGCCTAGATTTAAGAGCTTTAATCCAAAAAAAATTATTGCACCACAAATGAATTCAACAGTTTTACATAATACAATGAATGTTTACAACATGAAGAGAAAGACCCAGAGCGAATGCTCAGATAAAGGATTATACATATGGACTGTATGTATTACTATAGTAGGGTTTTTTGTGTTGTTTATACATGTCAAAGTGTCCAGTCAATCACTCAATATATATTTACACCACTCTTGCTCTTAAGTTAAAAATCAACATGCAAGGAATCCTTAATCAGTTCAGTAATATACTTAAATCAGTAAAATACTTAAGTACCCAGAGACCTAGTTAGTAGCTTCCCAAAAATTATATAATTAACCTTCACCAAGGGAGAGAGATGGTATGGTCAGATGACTCAGGCAGGAAGGAGCAAGGCCTGTATGACTCCCGTCTAGGGTGTGTTTATTTGAACTGAGTATGTAGCTGCTCAGACTTGCCCATCATAACTTCATCTTAATAGTTCCTTTCCCTTTCCCCTGGGCAAATTTGCTGAACATATGCTGAATGTATTAGAAGTAAAACTTAGTTCTGTGTAGGAGTGCCTCTTGTTCAGAAAAAAAAATGCTTCCAAACATGTCATGTTATAAATGTAAATAATATTTCAGCTCACAGACCTGCAAGAATTTATCAGCCTTTTAAAACCTCCCCTTGGATGAGAGGCAGCTTGGATAGGCTTGAATATGGACACTGAGCTGTGGGGAGAGTGATGCTGTCCCCCTCTTTGGGAATACCAGGCACATTCTTGAAGAACTTAGGCAAAGCAATATAAATCTTTATTTTTCTGGAAAAACATCTCCCTTCCTTGTTATTTGGCAAGAAGAAATAACCATTTGATGAAAACAGAGCTTGGGAAACGTTCACATATATATATAATCCTGCAACTGGTTCTTAAGTCTGGTTAACCAGGATGAAGCCTTGAGCAAGCTACAAACTGTTTTGAAATGATCTTTTCAAATGCATTTTAAGATCCTATTAGGCTGAATACATGTTGATTTTTCCTTAGAAATAGTTGGTAAATAGAATGGTCCTAGCAATTACAGCCAGAGCATTTCAAGGTAGCCAGCTCTGCAAATCCTATATACGTTACATACGATCTGTAGTGTTATTTATACATAGTGGAGGCTTAGTGTTTTTCCAAACTACAAGGCAATTGAGGGTATGCTGCAGTTCTCCATCTCTAACTGGGCTTCTGGCCTGAGGGTAGAAGGGGCAATATATTTTATCCTTACCATATCAAAGTTTGCTCAGAGTCTCAATTGTGCATAGAACTGGGAGCAAATCCAGGTTTCTGCTACAAAGAAGATACTGATACTGATTTCTCAGGAGATTGTCCAAGAGTGCTATGGAATTGAAGGGGGAAAGACAGAATCTAGGATGGAAGGCATTTCCTTTTACCTCTCTGATTTTTCTCTAAGAACACTGGTAAACTGACTGCAAGACAGAAGAAATGTTTACAAGCAAATTTGGCTTTAAAAAGTATGCTTTAAAATGGTTTACCGGCAACCTGTACAAGACATATACTAGTTTAAAAAGGCAACTGAGTATATTCAGTACTGCATTAACACCTTTTTTAAAATATTTTTTCTTTAAGAAAAGTAAAACGAGATCCCTCCAGAAAGCTGCATATCCCTCACTGACTAATATCAGCCCCCAAGGCATAAATCCTATTTTCTGACACATTCTGAAGTCAGGACATACCTAGCTTCAGGAACTGGTGGGGAGGGATTAAGGACATTTTAGTATTTTCTCCTTCCTGGGATCCAAACCACTAGAAGGGAAATGCCTCGTGATGTCTTTACAAAACACATGAGTCCTTATGGGGGCTCTGGGAAATTCAGCAAGATGCAACTTGGAGGAATCAGGTTGTCCTGTACCACTAATATCAGTCACTTTAACCCCTCACAGCACTAGCTGTCCACTGACATTTAGCCTTCTGGACAGACATTAATAATTACAACTCTTAAGTGCTAGGGGGTTAGAGAAGTCCACATGCAAACCCTCTAGGGCCCAAAGTGGGGATTTATAGCAGCACTATGTGAAAGAGGAGTTTCCCATGAAGCTACTTGTCATCCCACCCCCAAAAAGCCCATGGAAAGCGACCCCTTCCTTTCAAAACTGGGCCAATCTCTGAAACTGGCTCTGTTTTGTGGCTGTCAGTTTGCAATGAAAGAAGCTCGAAACATTATTTGTCTTGTAAACAATGTTTCAAAGCTTGTACAAAATACTGCAATTACAGTGATTAAAAAACCCACCCAGACTGGTGTGCTGTGTTCTTTTCATAGAAAAAGTGGCTACACATGGAATTTCCATTCTCAGGTTTCTTTTAAGACCATGGCACCCTGGGATTTGAGATGGATGGCCGAATGCTACCTCTGGGAGATGGCTTGGACCCAAACCACGACATCTATCATTTAAACAGAAGAACAACAAATGATTAGGATAATAAAGTCTATGGAAAAAAGGATGGAATAATTAACAAAGGCCATCCATCCTCTACAGAAATTTGTCACCGGTTCCTTTGGTCTGCACATGCCTTTTGCTGCTAAGCAGGACAAAAGGTTAAACTTTAAGATGACTGAATTTTATCTGCATGGAACTGGATGACTTGAAGGAATCTTTAGAGATCTGCTACTTCAGCCTACATTGAAGCAACAGGTTGAGACTTAAACTGAATTCAAGGCTCCTCTCACCATACTATGTTGTTTGAGGGTCTCGGTAACAAGCCCCTTAAAGAACTGCCTTAGCATTTCTAAGTCTGGATAATGCATAATGCTTATAGGTCTGGGGAAATAACCCAGAACAAGACCTTACTTCATTATCTGAGAATTACACATAGGTACATTTTGAGAAGAAAGACCGTTCAAAAAATCAGATGGGCTCAACACCGAAAGCTGCTTTCATAGCTAAGTTCCCTATTATTGCAGGAATTTAAGGAGAAGTTTCAAGCATCAAATAAGGCTGAACTAGATGACCTGAAGTCTCGTCTGGTGAGATACTATGATTATAAGACTGATAAAATTAGAAAGGAATCATAAGTTATAAAAGATAAGCTTCACTATCAGGGAGGGGGTCACCACTCAAATAATCTCTAAGTGCTTGCTACTTTTACTCTTCCAGGTTCAATCTTTAACCATACATATTAGCACCTCTCACTGGCTCCCTAAGATTCCAGAAGGTTCATTTTTACCCCTGTTCTCATCTAAGACTTCTTCTCTTTCACTGCTCTGAGGAACAACAGATCTACCTTATACTCCAAGGTCTCTTTGAGCATGTTTTCTTCCTCTTGTGAAAAATTCAGTAGCACAGACACAGCTTTAATGAGATGAAAAGCCTGAAACAGAAGAGACGTTGCTTACTCCGAGGAGAATGCCCAGCACGCTGGCAGGACCCGGGGGACAGGAGGCAGGTGCAGTGCAGGAGCTGCCTAGATATTCCAGTAGATGTGTCCCCCACTCAGCTGAGGAGGACTGCCATGGGGCAATGGCTGAAGTGGGAACATGCCTTTATTTCTAGCCTATGGCCTGATGAGATTACTATGAATCAATTTGTGGTCAAAATTTGAGATGATATTCCAAGTCAGCAAAAACTTAAAAGTTTTTTTTTAAACCCTTGTAGTCTTTTCTATCAATAGCAATGAATGGCCATTAGGTTTACTAAACGAATGCTACTTTGGGTATTCTGTTCTTTCATCAGTGTTGATTTCCCCTCCACATCAAAGCAAATGGTCTTCTTGGGTTGTTGTGGCCAAAAAAAGATTTATTCTCTGGTGGGTGACTTTTTGGGAATAAGCCTCTCAGTCCATCACTAGGCCTCTATCTGTTTCCTTTCCAGTCCAGTATCTGTAACAGCACAGGCACTACCAAACAGCCTTTGTCACCCCAGGGACACATCCATAACACAGTAATGTACAGATAGGAAAATGTCAGTGTAGGTATCATAACAGTAATAATGAAAGTAATCATTACTACCACTAACAATAGCAGCTAACATTTATATAGCTCTTGTAAGTTACAAAGCATTTGCACAAACATCTTTTTTAGTCTTCACAAAAATTTCATGAGATAGGTATTACTGTGAAAGGTACTGTGTAAGACAAGCTGGGGGGTACAATGGATAGAGCGTTAGGCCTGGAGTCAGGAAGACCTGAGTTCTAGTCAGGTTTCAGACACTAGCTTCATGACCCTAGGCAAGTCACTTCACCTGTTTGCCTCAGTTTCCTCATCTGTAAAATAGGGATAAACACAGTACGTACCTCCCAGGGTTGTTGTGAGGATCAAATGAGATAATGATTGTAAAGCACTTAGCACAGTGCCTGTCACATAGTAAGTGCTATATAAATGCTAGCTGTTATCATGATTATTATTAGCTATTAATGTACTGGCCTGAATACAGGGCACCTTTCAATAAAGTCAGACCCCTAAAATAAGATCTCATTGAAAGAAAAAAAAGGGATATACTGAAATAAAATGCACAAAATTTCATTAAAATAGTTTTCTTGGGGGGCAGCTAGGTGGCGCAGTGGATAGAGCACCGGCCCTGAAGTCAGGAAGACCTGAGTTCAAATGCAGATTCAGACTAAACACTAGACATTTACTAGCTGTGTGACCCTGGGCAAGTCACTTAACCCCAATTGCCTAAAAAAAGGAAAAAAAAAAAGAAAAAATATATTTTTCCTGTGAAATTTTAAGAAACATTTCTTTCAAAACAGAAAAAAAGATGTTTTATTTCATTTTATCACTATTACCTTAATATCTGTCCCTTTCATTGTTGTTCTCATATTAGGATTTATTTATAGGCTACTATAGGGTGTTCTATAAACTAGATATGGGAAAAACTATTATGCTATATTTAGTCCAATATGGACTGAAATGTATGCACGCATGTATGTATATGTGTATTATGTGCTTATCCCATTTACAGCTGAGGAAACTAACGTTCAAAAAAGATGTGAAGTAGGGGCAGCTGGGTGGCACAGTGCCTTGGAGCAGGAGGACGTGAGTTCAAACCCAGCCTCAGAAACTCAGAAACTTACTAGCGGTGTGACCCTGGGCAAGTTACTTAACCCCAATTGCCTCACTAAAAAGTAAAAAACAAAACAAAACAAAAAAAGATGTGAAGTGATTTAACCAAGGGTACCCAACTCATCAGTGGCAAAGCAGCTGCTTGCCTGGGACCTTAAGAGTCTAAGCTCACTGTTCTTAGAGCTTTAGTTCACAGGCAGCTAGAGCTAATGGAGCAAAGAGCTGAACTTGCAGTTGGAAGAACCAGGTTCAAATCCTAGCTCTGGTAATCGGTTGTGTGAACAGAGATAAGAACACTGCAACTCTCAAAGCCTTAATTTCCTCAGCTGTAAAATGGGCATGATACTAGTACTATCCAACTCACAGAACTTCAGTGGCAAAATGACTTTGTAAATTTAATTTTACTATGACTATTATGAGAAAAGAAAAGCTGAACTTAAATTTAGAAAACATGTTAAATGCTGCTATAAATCATTGCCTAAGCTGTAATTCAGCTATTAAACCTAAGTAGGGGAAAGGGACAGAGAGAAATAGGATGGCATGGGGACCTCAATGTGAAAACTCATACAGGAATAAAAATCTAGGGCAAACTGAAACCAGTGTTTTTACCTCTGATTCCCGACAGGACATGAATTTTAAAACCACGTGCTTGAGGTATTCAAAATTTATCTCTCGAGAATCATTTAAGTCTGAGTTATTGGTGACAGTTGTGGAAGCAGTAGGCACTTCAGGACTGGGTTTCTCCCGAACTTCAAAGATATCATTTTCAGGCCGAATTTTCTGGAAAGAAAAAAAAAAAGGAGAAAAACATTGAAATATGCTACCATCTTCCTTCCTAAGAAAAGTAGGTCAGGTGTCTTAACATTTCTCAGACAGCATGGAAATAATCCAAGTTTTGAGCCCTTCCCCCCATGCCTTCTCCCTACCTGCAAACGGGCAAGTAAGTAGTTAGACCAAACTGAAAGTTGATCCTTAAGATTTCATAAGATTTAGAGCTGAAAGATTTAGAGATCATTGGACCTAACTCTTATCATTTTACAGAAGAGGAAACTGAGGACTCCCAAAAAGGAAGTAAGTGATTAGCTCAAAGCCACACATATAGTTAAGGGGTCAAAACTGGGATTCAAACCTAGGTCCTCTGACTTCAAATCTAGGGTTTATTCCATTATGCTGTGCTCCTTTTAGGGGGAGCTATGGCCTCTTGGGGAAAGAGAAGACTCCTTCTGAAGCAAACATGCCTGACAGAAAGTGTGGTACACAGGCAAGGTCTAGGTATGGGACTGTTGTGGCTAAGGAGGGAAAAAGCACCAGAAAAGAAATATTCACACTTTTGTCTGTCCCTCCTGCCCCTGCCTCCCCAAGCAGCCATGTCATGAAAGTTCATCTGGATGGTCACTCACCAGCTCCTTCTGGAGGGTCTTCTTGAGTTCCAACATTCTCTGCTGCAGCTGCTTTATAGTCTGTGGAACAAATGTCATGGCATCAGAGATTTAGACCTAAGGTCACCCAGCCTCGTCTTCTCCCTCTCCAATTCACAGAACTGCCAAAGGGATTATCCTAATGCACAGATCTGACCATGTCACTCTCCTCCTCAATAAGCACCCAATTAGATCTAGGATAAAATAAAAACTCTTAATTTTGCATTTAAAATCCTCTACCCCCTTGCTGTATCCTCTCTTTTCAGGCTCATTACACAATATTCCCCTCTACACACTCTGTATTCTGGCCTTCCTTCTGTTCCTTACAGTCTTACACAGTCTGCCATGTCCGCAGTACAGTTCTCCTCACCACCACCATCTAGGATCCTTTGCTTGCTTTAAAGCTCAGCTCAAGTGCTTCTCTCTACATGTAGTTTTTCCTGATTCCCCAGCTCCTCGTGCCTTGCTCTGTCCCTACCCCCCAAATTACCTTGTAATTAACTTTGTATATATTTTGTACATACAAATGTAGACATATTGCTGTCGATGATAGAACGTGAGCTCCTTGAGGGTGTGGTCTGTTTCACTTTTATAGTTATAGCCTTAGTGATTAGTAAAATACCTGGCTCACAGTTGCCACTTAATGATGACTGGCTGAATGATTTGTGGAGGTTGGTATCGTGAGAAGGGTCCCTTGTTACCTTGTTTTTTTCTATGATCTGCTGCTCCAAGTCTCGGTTTTCTTTTTGTAGCTGTACCATATCAACACAATCCACTTCTCCGTTCAACGTTCTTTCATCACTCGAGAGTGGGTATAAATCATCACTCAATTCCTTTGCTGTTTCTCCAAAAACAATTACCTGTCAGGGTGGAGAAAGCACATCTCAGAGACTCTTTTGCTATTAATCTTGAGCTTATTCACAGGTAGAAAAGGTACAAAAATAAACCACGCAATTTTTTCCTCCAGATATAGGATGTCTGCTCAGATTGTTACTTCATCCAATACACTGTGGAATGCCAGTTAGAAATAAATCCTAATTCTTTGTGCAAAGACACAGAGTTGGTGTTTATTTCAGACAAAAAAAGAATCTAAATGGGCAATTTTTTATAGGCCAGACACAAAGTAGGCATGCCAAACACAACCCAATAAACATCCCCAAAGATATAACAGTTTACATCAGGGTACAACAAATTTCAGTCACAGTAATGTTAATCTGCCTAATGTTTTTTAACAGTATTTATCTGATAGCACTGCTATAGTTCCCAAAGGTGATCTAGCTTTCTATCTTCTTCCTACTTAACCCTGAGCCCAGGTCACTGTCCATTTCAAATGCTTCTTCTAGGTATCGGCAGTGACAGATTTAGTGGGTTGCTATCCAACTGCATGTTATCTACTTCAATTCAACAAAGTCATCTAGTAGCTTACAAATCAAACCAACGATTATTAATTAAGCACCTATTATGCAAAAGGTACTGGATTGGATGATGGGGATATAAAGACAAAATGAAAACAGTCCCTGCCCTCAAGGAACTTACACTTTATTGGGGGAGGATGTAACACATAAACAGTTAAGTTTATATAGGATAATCCGAGGAAAAGAAGGGGAGATGGCAAAGGAAGGCTTCCCATAGGAGGGAGCCTATAACTTGAGCCTTGAAGGAAGACAGCGATTCTAAGAAGCAGACTGGAGGAGAGAGCACATTCTAGAAACGGGCACAGACCGTGCAAAAGCACCAAGGAGGGAGATAGATTGCCAAGTGTAGGGATAACAAATAGGTCAGTTTGGCTGGAACACATCAGTACAGATGAGAATACAAGTCTAAATAAACAAGTCTGGAGCCAGGTTTTGTGAAAGGCCTTACCTGACAAGATGGGGAATATGTATTGTTTGTAGTTTGTATTACTGAGGAGACAGGAGGAAGCCACAAGAGTTTCTTGATCAGGGAAATGATATAGCTAGACTTATACTTTAGGAAGACTATTCTGGACTGTGTGCAGGATGGACTGAAGAAGGAAAAAACTGAAAGCTGGAAGTGAGAGGTAATGAAGACCTAAACTAAGATCTTATAAGGGGCGAAAAAGGAACAATCACTAAGGATGTTAAGGAGATATAATAGAAAAGACACAGCAGGGGCAGCTAGGTGGCACAGTGGATAGAGTACTGGCCCTGAAGTCAGGAGTACTTGACTTCAAATCCGGCCTCAGAACAAACACTTGACACTTACTAGCTGTATGACCCTGGGCAAGTCACTTAACCCCAACTGCCTAAAACAAACAAACAAACAAAAACAATAAAAAAAAAAAAGAAAACACACAGCATTATTGGGGGTGAAGGGACAAGGGAAATATAATTATGAACCTGGGGATCTGGAAAGATGGTGATGCCTTCAACAGATATAGAGAAGTTTGGAAAACCCAACATTTGAGGTAAGGGAGAAGTCAATGATCTCTATTTTAGACAGATTTGAGGATGTCCATGGGACATCCAGGTAGAGAGGTTAATAAGTTGTCTGTGGGGCATGGAGCCAAGATGTTGGAGTGAAAGCAGTGACTTGCTTGAGCTCTCCCCCAAACCCCTCCAAATACTCATAAAAAATGGCTCTAAATAAATTCTGATGCAGCAAAACCCACAAAAAGACAGAGTGAAACAAATTTCCAGCCCAAGACAACCTGGATGATTGATCAGAAAGGTGTATCGCGCCGGGCTGGGAGCGCAGCACAGCGCGGCATGGGCGGGCAGGCCGCAGCAAACCTGGAGCAGGCCTCAGAGGACTGAATCTCAGGCAGCTGTGGAGGTTTCCAGACTCCTCAATCCACTAATGCCAAAGACAACTTAGAAGGTCAGTGGGAAAAGTCTGTTTCTGTCAGTGGTCAGAGAGGAAGGCGGGGTTTCAGCTCCATTCCCCAAGAGCGTGGCGGGGGGGGGGCAGCTGCTTCCTGAGCTTCCAGCCCACAGACTGAGGGGGAATCCAGTGGCTGATCAGAGAGGGATTGCAGGGATCTCTTTGCCAGTGCTGAGGCAGGAATCTCTTGCTTTGCCCATGTCTGGATCTGGGTCACAGTTCTGGGCAGCGTTGCTGAGGTGAGGAGGAGTGCTGGCTTGGTGGAGCTTGTAGTGGCTGTGGAGAGGAACCCCTCCTCACAGTTACAGGACAGAAAGGAATACTTGTGGTCACAGGCCAGGAAAGGAGTAAACACCTCACCCTTATCATACCACCTTGGAAGAACTGAAAATTTACAGGTCCCTACAAGTATCTCTGAAAACAGCTGTACAAACCCCTAAAGCTTGGGACAGTACACTCTCCACATTGGAAGCAGACTCTTACCTTAACAAAGAGTTTAAAACTCAAGTAATTGGCTGGATCATGAGCAAGCAGCACAAAAAGAGTCAGACTATATTATCTTACTTTGGTGAAAAAGAAGATCAAAATATACAACCAGAAGAAGACAACAAAGTCAAAGCTCCTACATCCAAAGCCTCCAAGAAAAATATGAATCAGTCCAGGCCTTGGAAGAGCTCAAAAGGGATTTTGAGAAGCAAGTAAGGGAAGTAGAGGAAAAACTGGGAAGAGAAATGAGAGTGATGCAAGAAAATCATGAAAAACAAGTCAACAGCTTGCTAAAGGAGACCCAAAAAATACTGAAGAAAATAACACCTTAAAAAATAGCCTAACCCAAATGGCAAAAGAGGTCCAAAAAGCCAATGAGGAGAAAAATGCCCTAAAAAGAAAAATTGGCCAAATGGAAAAGGAAGTCCAAAAGATTACTGAAGAAAATACTTCCTTAAAAATCAGGATAGAGCAATTGGAAGCTAGTGACTTTATGAGAAATCAAGACATTGTAAAACAAATCCAAAAGAATGAAAAATTAGAAAACAATGTGAAATATCTCATTGGAAAAACTGACCTGGAAAATAGATCCAGGAGAGAATTTAAAAATTATTGGACTATCTGAAAGCCATGATCAAAAAAAGAGCCTAGACATCATCTTTCAAGAAATTATCAAGGAAAACTGCCCTGATATAGAACCAGAGGGCAAAATAGAAATTGAAAGAATCCACAGATCTCCTCCTGAAAGAGATCCCCAAAGGAAAACTCCTAGGAATATTATAGCCAAATTCCAGAGTTCCCAGGTCAAGGAGAAAATATTACAAGCTGCCAGAAGGAAACAATTCAAGTACTGTGGAAACACAATCAGGATAACACAAGATTTAGCAGCTTCTACATTAAAGGACCGCAGGGCATGGAATATAATATTCCAGAGGGCAAAGGAGATAGGATTACAACCAAGAATCACCTACCCAGCAAAACTGAGTATAATCCTTCAGGGGAAAAAATGGTCATTCAGTGAAATAGAGGACTTTCAAGCATTCCTGATGAAAAGACCAGAGCTGAATAGAAAATTTGACTTTCAAATACAGGACTCAAGTGGAACATGAAGAGGTAAACAGGAAAGAGAAATCATAAGAGACTTATTAAGATTGAACTGTTTACATTCCTGCATGGAAAGATGATATTTATAACTCATGAGAACTTTGTCAGTATTAGGGTAGTTGAAGGAAAAAAATTATATGTATGTATATATAGATAGATAGATAGAGGGCACAGGGTGAGTTGAAGATTAAGGGGTCATATCTGGAGAATAAAATTAAGGGATGAGAGAGGATGATACTCGGAGAAGAAGAAAGAGAGGTAGAATGGGGTAAATTATCTCACAAAAAAAACAGAAAAGAAAAGTCTCTTACAGTGGAGGGGAAACAGGGGAAGGTGAGAGGGAATGAGTGAATCTTATTCTCATAGGATTTGGCTTAAGGAGGGAATAACATACACATTCAATTGGGTATGGAAATCTGTCTTACCCTACAGGAAAATAGGGGGAGAAGGGGACAAGAGAGCAGGGGGATGATAGAGAGGAGGGCAGATTGGGAAAGGGGGTAATCAGAAGGAAATACTTCTGAGGAAGGACAGGGTCAAAAGAAAGAATAGAATAAATGGGAGGGCAGGATAGGATTAAGGGAAATAGAGTTAGTTTTTCACAACATGTCTACTATGGAAGTGTTTTACATAACTGCACATGTACAACCTATATTGAGTTGTTTGCCTTTTCAGTGAGGGTGGATGGGGAAGGAGGAAGAGAGAAAATTTGAAACCTAAAGTTTTAAAAACATATGTTTAAAAAAAAAAGTTTTCACATGCTACTGGGAAATAAGAAATACAGGAAATGGGGTACATAAGTCTATCCTGCCCTACAGGAAAATAGAAGGGGAAGGGGATAAGAGAAGTGGGGAGAGATAGAAGAGAGGACAGACTAGGGGAAGGGATATTCAGAATGCATGCCATCTTGGGGTGGGAGGAGGGGTGAGATGGGGCGAAAATTTAGAACTCAAAAACTTGTGGAAGTAAATGTTGAAAACTAAAAATAAATAAATTCATATTTAAAAAAAAATAAGTTGTCTGTGATACAAAACTGGGGCTCAGGAGATGGACTAGATATATAGGTCTGCAGTACTAGAGAGGTGGTAATCAAATCCAGCAGGGCTGATGAGATGACTAAGAGATATTCTACAGCAAGAGAAGGCAGCTCAAGACAGAACCCTGGGGCAGACCCACACAAGGGTGTGGATGATGATCCAACAATGGAGACTAAGAACCAGGTGAAAGCAGTATCCTGAAAGCCTAGGCAAGAGAAGTATCCAGGAGGAAGGTCAATCATGTCAAATGATGGTAAGAAATCAAGGACGAGGAAGAAGAAAAGACCTTCATAGTGACTATTTAAGAGATTGTTGGCCACTTTGTAGAAAGTGGTTTTGGTTGGTTGGTAAAATAGAAAAACAGACTACATGGGATTAAGAAATGGGTG